AGTCATAGCTGTCTTACAGCCAAAACATTGCTGATTTGTGCCATTTATGTATCGTCAGGTGGTTTTCTTGGTCATGTGAGGCGTCACACAAGTACAGTAGTTGCAATTTGTGTGTGTATCACCGCTCTGTTCATCGTCGCTTTTGCAGGAACAACAGGTTATCAAGAAAACATGGCAGCTTACATCCAGAACATTGTTTTTTAGTACTTGACCTTTTAAAGACTGCCAAAGCACTGTTACAAGGAATATCAAAATGCCAATTTTATTAATACAACTTGTAAAAATAAGAAATTGCACATGCAATACGACTTTGAACCACAAGATAGTCCAGTGAGTCTGTCCTGAATCCAAAATGAGACATTCCTATATGAGTATTACTAAAGCTACAGCTAGATCAACAGTCAGGGTTATGTGTCCCCACCTTGTTTGGGCAGCTAGAAGAGCAAAGAAGCAAAGTCATTTATATGTAAAGAATGTAATACTTGACATGAAACCTTTACAAAAAGTATCTTTTTAAAGCAGCATTGTAAAAACAACCTTAATTGATTGCAGTCGTGTGAAAAAGAAAGTTTTCACAGCACTCCATACACTTCTGTGAAAGCTTATATATCACTACTTTTTTAATAGGAATTAACAAGTTACAGGACAGCCAACTGCTGATAATCAAATGCACTTGATTAATATAAAGAAGAGGTTTTGGCAGTTTGCTGGTCGGGAGCATGGAGGTGTGCAAACTCACTCCAAGTTCAGACTTTGCAATTGTCAGAGAATTGCAAAAACACCCGAGCGCTACATCTTACACTCTTCAGACCCCAGTAAGTATGTTAAATATTAAAGTCGAATGTGCACAAACCCCAACTAATCGAAGCAACACTGTAAAGAAGAGCGGCTAAAACTCCTGCACAATGTGTGATTCATAAAGAAATACAGAAAGTTGTTGTTGCTAAAGGTGGCTCTGCAGCTATGCAACCCTTCCAAAATGCAACCCTTGACTACACACATGACTACACAACCATGTGTTAAACTTGGACCTCTTAAATTTTAGTGTAGCAATCACTAACAAACACAGTTCAGATGTAACATTAGGTATTTGTTTCATTTTCATGAAGTCTAACATTAGCTAGCATACATGCTATTCTAAACAGCAACAGTTAAGCTAGTTAGCATGTCGAAGGCTAACATAAGATCTACTTGTTTACCCTTATATTATGATATTATAATAACAAGGCTAGTGTCATAATTAAACAATTTGCTTTTGGATTTTTGAAATATCCTCTTCTATATAATCGTTTTTGTACTGTAAGTCATTGTTGTGGAATAAATTAAGTTATTACATTTGGAGTTTGTTCGGTTATTTATGCAAGTCATTACCACCTGAATCACTTGGCTCTTGTGGCATTATCTAATAAGGAAAAAAGACACACTCAGAGCTTTCAGAAGCACAGACCAGAGTTTTGTTTTGTTTTTTATTGCATCAGAATATATTATAATCCATCTGCTTATTTACATTTTCTTTAGTGTTTGTATAATATTTTACAAATATTCCAAGCTCATCACAAGAAACATATCTCAAACACTCACACTCCAGGATTTGATCAAGCTAATTATAGTAGTTATTTTTGTTTGCTTGCTTATTTATTTCAGGTTTTGCAGCTTTCAGTGGCGCTTCAGTAGCAGCACGAGTTCTTATCTCAATGAACCACACAAATTCCAAGAACTGGGTTTATCTTGTCAGCCTGAAGCAGAAGAAAAAAATGCAACTAAAGTGAAAACCAGATGACGAGTCACGTGACTTTACATACTTCTTCTACTAACAAATATCATGGTTGTTTGTCAGTATAACATCAGTTCCTCACATGCGGACAGCACAGGTGATATGTGAAGTATAGACCTGCCTTTATTCTGGTTTTAACTTCGATCAGTCAATACATAATCTGACCTCTGCATAAAAACACAGCACTCTCCATGAGGTCAACTTTTATATTTAAAGAAAAGAAATCTGTGAAATCCATTGCAATTGAAGCTAGGAATGAGATATCTTAGCAACAAATGTTTCTGAATAACTTGATGCGATGCTGCAATCCAGTAAACTTGACTCAAGATTTAAGTTGAATTCATTAACCTGGAGAAAACAGACAGACTGATCTAATCGTGTTTAACCAGGAAAATATAGTATCAGTGTTTAAATCATCGGCTTCATTTTGACCAAATACAATTATGTGAATGAAAATCCAGCTTTAGATGGAATCATATTGTTATGATCACCACAAAAAGAATAGGTCTTAAATCATGGGCTCCATATTTGTTTATAATCCAGTCACTATACTGTATTTGAGCTTTATTTTTAATTGTACTTAGTCTAAGTGGAAATTTTGATATGTTAGAGGTAATTAAGAATGTCAAGTTTTCACTTCAACTGTAAAAATAAAAAATAAAATATAACATTAGTGAATCATCTGCACTGAACTATGCTTTTTATTAACCTCTGTCTCTCTTCCACAGCATGTCTTTATCCTGTCTTCCTTCTCTCACCCCAACCAATCACAGCAGATGGCCCCGCCCCTCCTGAGCCTGGTTCTGCTGGAGGTTTCTTCCTGTTAAAAGGGAGTTTTTCCTTCCCACTGTCGCCAAACTGCTTGCTCATAGGGGGTCATATGATTGTTGGGCTTTTCTCTGTATCTACTGTACAATATAAAGCGCCTTGAGGCGACTTTTGTTGTGATTTGGCACTGTATAAATAAAATTGAATTGAATTGAAGAGAAAATAAGCTACAGACACCTGCTCTGTTAAGGCAAATCATAGGCAGTTCATATAGTTATTTTATGTTTTCAAAGAGTATATAATATATATGCATGTAATGCCGAGTTAACTGTTACGGGTGTTTAATTATAGTGCATAAGTGAAAAATAAATCTTGTGTTTTTCATATACACATATCCAGCTGTGTAAAACAAAAAGCCCTGTGAACGTATCGTGTTGAAAAGTACAGACATGTTAATGCTGCTAGAAAAGTTTGCTGGAGAATAATGGAAATACACGCTAACGCATGAAGATGCTATATGTTCATTCATTTATAGTCATGCATAACACTGCACAAGGAAGCAAGCCAGTCAGAGAATGGGATGAAAAGCAAACGCATGGGAAAAAACGAAAACTGGGACACTAGACCAGGGACTTCCGGGTTTGTTTCTCACAAGGACAGGAAATAACGCTGAACTCTGAACTGTGTCTCTTAAAGTTTCTGTTTTAGCACAGCTGTAAGTCCCCAGGGCTCGAAGCACACAAGAAAGCATAAAGCTGAATAAATACAGATTAGCCCCATTTTAAGGCTACATCATTGAGAGCTAAGTGAGATCAAATTTGTCTATAGATTATGTTGTAGCTTGCTAAACAAGCATATAACTTTGTGCTCCATTCTCTTGTTCAAAGATGGCCAAAACACTAATATTGTGGTTTCTGTCAGTAGTACGGAAAGTTGTATATTAACATTTCACATCCTGTTGTTGTCCACCTTTCCTCCCTGCTTTATGATTGTGTTTTAGGCTTTTCTTCATGAAGTGAGGGAGGTTCTATACATTAAAAGATCAATTATATGATAATGTAGTCTGATAGCTATAGCAGCTTCAAACAAATGAAAACTTGTGTGGTTATCAGTGCTCAGCCTCATCAGTTATTGTGTCGTTACACAAAAATGGAACTAAATTTCTAAACAACTAAAAGCAGACAATAAATCTTCTTCTGGCCTCTGGAATATATAAGTATCTAAGTATGCTTCTGTAGTTGAAGCATATAATGACCTTGTTACTATTAATATTCATTAAATTGGACAATATATAGACATAAAAGTAAAGTTATAAATAAATAAAGAATAAATAAGGAATGAATAATATCACCCTGGTTTTACTCTGACACGTGGCCTTTCTTCATGTAACCAAGTTTCACAGCTACGATCAACTGTACAATCAAATATTGCAAACAGAGTGCATGCATCAATAGAGAGATCCAGTCTATTCACTTTTATTTTATATGATGTAAAATTTTACAAGTTGCAGTTTAGCATTCCCAATATTTTGAAAATGTACACCTTTACATTATTTTTATTTTTAAGTTTACTTGGAAGTTGCCTGCAGGTTGACAGCTTCTTGGGAAGAAAGTGAAGCTTAGCTTAGTCGTCCAAACGACCAGCAGACAGTATGCTGCTCTGTTTCCAATATTGTTTTTGCATTCAGTTTAATGTTGAAAATAACATGTTTGATTTATGCATTTATTTACTAATGCATTCATATTTAAACGACAGAAAACTGAGCCATGGTGTGGGGTTAAAGAGGTTTGTATTTGCCAATGAAAGTGTCTAGCACCATCATAAAAGGTTCTTGAACAAAGTAACAGTGTGCAAGTCCTTATCCCGATAAGGACTTGCACACTGTTACTGTTACTACTACTGACAGGGCACATACAGAAGAGTGTATATCATAAATGTTCTGCTGTCAAGGTAAAGTTCTTTGTTGTGCTGTCTCCTATGAATGACAGTTAGCAGTAATTTAGCACAAATATTAATTTGGGGGAAAGAAAATGGAATAATAGGACTGTTTGAACCAGCTTGCAACATTTGCACCTTTATATAGCAAAGCATCAAACACAATTACAACAACTTAATGGAGAGCCAGCACATTAATAAATCTCCAGCTGCCCATGGAGTCATTATGGCTCCACTTTGCTTCACAATCTAATGGATGTGTTGTAAAGAATTACTGTTTCAACCATCAGCTAGACAATCTTACATCTCAACAGCCCGCTGATCCACAGGTCACACTAAAGCCATTAGTAAAAGGATATCACTTCATGTAAAAGTGATGGGCTCTGCTATCACCTCAGCTATAGCTAGCTTAGTGCTCACGTCCATGCACTAAATGTGAAAAGAAATAACCTTCTAGTACATATCTTCTGCAGTTCAGCCAATAAACACACTTTTTTAATTCAAAGACGAAGCAAACCTAAGTTTCTGTAACACCGGGTGTTCAACGTAAAATTACACCTGCAATACACAGGAACCATTCATTCAGGATCTAGTGTGGTCACCAGTGTTTTTAGGCCCATCATGATTAGATTTGCCAGCCATCGTATGAATATACTCATCTTTGACTCGAGTTATTTAACAAACAACCATTTTGTGTTCATTTCTGTGTGGTCTGAAATCTTGAAATATCTTGAAACATTCACGAGTTGTGACAAATAAGACAGTGCACACCATCTGTTCATGTTGAATATAAAAGCAAACTTAAAAATCACACAATTCAACACTCCTCAGGAGTTTTGTTAGCATGCTAAAATCTGCTAATTACCCCTGAAGTCAAAGTACAGCTGAGGCTAATAGGAACATTAAAACCTACGGAGGCCCACAAGGGACAAAAAAACAACAACAATGAGCTTTTGTGAGATCCAGAGTTACTTTTGCGAGATCTCGCAAAATAGGCCGCATCTTTCGCAGGTCGCGTTTGAAGGCCGAGTCGGTGTAGCCCAGCCACTTCCAGTTTCCAACGATGGTGGCAGCTACTTAGTTTTAATATTACTCTTTCTGGGTCGTAAAATAAACAAAACTAAACTAAGATATTTTGAGGCAAGAATGTAGCTGTGCAAACTTCAAACATCTGCTCGGTTTATCAAGACATCACATATTTGCAAAAGTGCTCCGACGTTTTCGAAGACATCTGTTACCCACCAGCTTGAAGCTGACCGCTAGGTCAAGGCTTAGAGCCGGGGGGAGGACCATACTCCCGGCACACTGTGCCTCGACCTCACGGTCAGCTTCGAGCTGGCGACCTCTGAAAGATGCGCCCTATTTCGCGAGATCTCGCAAAAGTTCATCTCCATTTTTTTTCTCCAATGTCCCTTGTGGGGCTCTGTAATAAACCAGCATGTGGGAAAGAATAATCATTTTGACGTGATCGTGGAGCTAGACAAAAAGTTATTGAGATGCATCTCGAGAAAAACTTGATGAAATGTCAAAAAATCAATGCAGTCAATGCAATCATTCTACATGATACAGAAATTTCATTCAAGATCACCAGAGGTATCGAGATTCATTCAGAATGAATGTCTGTAAAAAATGGACTCAATGACTGATCCATCCAATTTATATCTAAACAACTTTGTGGAAAAACACTTTGAGAGTTTTGAGGTAAAACTGGATGTTCATATGTCATCTTTTGTGAGATAAACAAAAGAACAAGGATCACTAAACATCAGTTTCATCGGGAAATTTGAAGTAATGTCAGTGGTTGATAAGGTAACATCACCTATAGTTGTGTTATTTTCTTGTAATCCTGTTTCAGCCACTTTAATTTCTCTTTACATTTCTTCACTATGAGGTGAGTATTTTTTAGCAGGTTTAGAAAAACTAAATTGCATCTTTGCTGTCAGTTCTCTTCTTTCTGATTTGGTCCATTTTTAGGGCTCATGTTAAAAACTGTTGTTTGTATGGTAATATTTTGCCAGATCTACATTCATGTGATTGACCAAACTACATCTGGACAAATCACTGTTCCTCTTATGTCCTATTATTACACACACAGCCCAAAAACAGATCTAATAACTTGAATTTTTAGCTACGCAGTAAAAAGTTCCTCCATCGGTTCCCAGAACTTTGAAAAAGCTCCTGCTGTGAGAAAGTGTGTAGAGCTTAGAGGATTCCCATCATTTGGGGATATTTGGTACTGAAGTGCTTAGTATGGACCAAAGTGTGAACTGAAGAGTGGTTATCCATTACATAAAGAAGATTTGAAATTTGTGTGGATGGCTTTTCAATTAAGCGTCCAGTCCAGTCCAGTCCCCCTACAGTGTAACCAGTTAATAATTAAAATATGCTTATGGTTATTTTATAAGAATGCCTTATTCTACTTAGTGGTGGTAGCAGTCACTTTCTTTAGATCAGCACTGGACACTTAACTTTTCACCACTTTGTGACTTCAGCTTCAGTCCTTTTCCATCTTCAGCTCCACTTCTTCCTGCATTAACTGTGCTCCTTCCACCTGCATCACCTTGCAGTCTCTAATATCTTCCATTTCCATCATGTCCTCCTTCTCTTGACTCAAAGACGGGATAACCTCTACACCAGAAGTTTTTCCGCTCTGGCTCTCAGGTTGTCTAGCACCTGGTACAAAATCATCTCCTTCAGCCGATCCGATAACCCTCTTGTCTGGTTCAGCTCCAAGTTCATAATCGTCTTCTTTCTGGTCTTTAGTGGTTGACTTCTCTTCTTCCACCATTGTGACAACAGAGAACTCCCTCTGGCTGTCAGGACTGGCTTTAACAATGGTCACACTACTTATTCTGCCACCTTGAGGTGAGGAGGGAGACAGGCTAGAAGGTAACAAAGGTAAACTGCTTGATCTGTCTTTAAAAAGTTGTTCAGATGAAGATGGAAGGGCAGAGCTTTTAGACTCCCCTGCTGCAACTGGTGACAGTTTATTCTTTTTTAGAATTCCAGGTCTCTTAAATTCTAATTTTTCTTCAGCTTTGGGCATTGTGGTGCCTTCAAGCTCTCTCTCCGGAGCTCGGGCTTGTGACGGACTATAAGTTTGTCTAAAGGATGAATAGGAAACAGGTGATTGGCTAGACATTTCTTGGTGAAGTGGGAGCTTCGGGCTTGGTGTGAGGACACGAGGAAGTTCTCCTTTTACAGCTTCTGGTGGCATATTTTTTGAGCCAACTTTGGGACTTGCAGTCCCTGCTAGGGGGGATGTAGGAGTTTTTAATGAAGAAACTGAAGATGGCGTCTTGATTGGGAAGGAAGATGAAGGGGATGAATCTAGGGTTAAACCTGGTCCCATATCTGAACTAGAGCTTAGGTCTTGAATAAGCTGAGAACCTGTCCTGGAACAGGCGTCAAGCTGATCAGTATGAGTGACAGAAGTGAAACCTGGAATTGATGTGGGCATAGGTACAATGGGTGTAGATGTCTGCAGTGGACCAAATTCATATGCCTCTCCAGGTTTTATCCACTGACCCTCAACATTTACTCCCTTCTCAGATGGAATAGGAAGAGAACTTGGGGCAGAAGCAACTGTACTCCCGGATGAAGACTGGATCTTTTTACAAGGTTCAGGATTGAGCACAGTTTTAATCTGGGAAGAAGGAGAATTAAGAGAACTTGATGTTTTCTTCTCCTGTTGTAGCTCAGTGTCAAGTATGGAATCAGATTTAGTACCACGCTGAAGATCAACTTTAATGTTCTTAACAGGCACGGGCTCTTCCAGCACTACAGGTTGCTGCTGAACAGCAAATTTAACCCCTCCAATATCTCTGCCCGTCTCCTCCCCTACCTTAATACCTACAGGGTCACTGCTCCGCCTTAGCCCAAATATAGTCACACTCTTTTTTCTTCTTCCCACATTTGCAGATACTCCACTGGCACTTTCTGAAGGTCGGCGGACTTCCTTAAACATGCTTCTCAGGTTGTAGCCGCCATCTTTCCTATCATCGCTGTCCTGGGATTGGTCCAGCTGGTCCCCTGAAATGGCCAATGGACTTGGACCACCATGAGACTTTTTATCAGTGTGTGTCACTCGGAACCTGAAAGGATTTCAATAAATTAATTATAAATCCTCTTATTTGTCACTACTTTATCTCTGTGTATTTTACAAAACTGTCCAGTTCTTCATTGTTACCTGCCAACAGAGAAGACAGTCTGTTCCCCAGGTCGCTGCTTGGCACGTAGGGTTCTGCTTTGTCTGCGGCCTTTTTTAGATTTAATCTGGGCACAGAGGTGGCAGGAGTTGTGGTCGGTGCCTGAGTGAACTGTGTGGAGATGGGGAGGAATACCACCAATGGACTCCTTACGCAACCTGGCCATTAACATGAGCAAAGTTTTGAAATTAGATTAAATACCTTTCTACCTTAAATAGATCATAACGTTTTATCCAGCTCAATCCCCTCAGTGCCTTGATTTGACAAGAAACCTGAAGCTACCTTACAGTCTCTGGCTCTAAGATGTTAATGTCCAAATCAACCCCATGTTTTGGAAAATGGGGAAAAAGTGAAGTCCTAGGACATTTAGATCACACTTCGATTATTAGAGTCTCAGTGACGTTCACATAGGCAGATTCTTGAAGAATGCACAGATCATCTTTATGACTGGGTCATAAAATCTTCATAAAAACCTCATTAAACCACAAGCTTGTGGGGTGCACCTATTAGTGGTTGCAGGAGGGGCGAACCATGAGTTAGCGAGAGGGTATTGATTTTGTTCTAGAACAGGTCTGATCCACAGCATCACTTACAAACCTTGGTGTATCTACCAGTAAAGCTAAATTGGATCGTAACATGTGCATTTGTTCAACACATGTAGTGATGCAAGTACACCTGGCCATGAAACTACTTGTTAGTCAACTATTCGATTACCTGGACAATGTGTGACTGTGTAAAATGTGTAATTCTTGTTAGAGGTCATATAAAAAAGTAAAGATTACCATGTAGTGTAACATAGCTTTAGCTGAATAAGCATACCTGGGGTCATGGCGTACGCAGACATTATGGTTTCCCAACATCTCGTTGAAGGCTTCCATATTTGCTAGAGGACACAAATAAAAGAAGTAAATAGTAAATTAACATGAATACAACTTCTACTGTCAGGTCCTGGGTCCGTGAACCAGTTTTATGTATCTGGACATTTTAATTCCGGTTTATTTAATGCTCTAAAATGTAATTTATGTTCCTGGCTTTGGTTCTTATTGTTGCGTTTCTGCTTTGTGTAGTATTTGCATCTGTTTGTCATGTAGTTTTAAGGTTTCTGTTTCTATAATTGTAATGACATTATGAAGGAACTGCCCACTCCCACCCATGAAATAGCCTTTAAGTCAACAGTCCAGTTACTTTTGGTCCCTTTAAAAAGAGCGAGGCACACGTCGAGGAGCTGAAACTCCTAAACCAGGGGTGCAACCCTACTCCAACACTGCTGAATCGAATGGTTGGATTACCTCTTCAGCATGCCATCAAGTCTGACAAAGGCCTGATAACAAGCCAATCAAACGAGCCATTTGATTCAGGTGTGTCGGAACAAGGATGCGTCTAAAAGCTGCAGGACAGTAGCTCTCGAGCACTGAAGTTGGACACCCCTGTCCTAAACCCTTCATCCAATTTGAATGTGGATACCCTTAAATGAAAGTTGAGCGTCTACATCAGGGGTGTCGAACTCCAGGCCTCGAGGGCCGGTGTCCTGCAGGTTTTAGCTCTCACCCTGGGTCAGCACACCTGTATCAAATGAATAGTTCATTACCAGGCCTCTGGAGAACTTCAGACCCCTGGTCTACACATTATTTCCATGACCATTACATAACTATAATTGGAAATATTGAGAAAATATTGGTCGGTTCTGTCACCTTCATTTTGTATGATACATTTAAGGATCTGCTCCACCGTGTCCTGGTTCTCTTCATCCTCATCTGAAACAGAGTAAAACAAACACATTCATCTTCTAGCTCATAAATCCCTTTTACATTTTGTTCTTAAAACATAAGAGAGTGAAAGTCAAGATATGGACCTGAATGCAGGACCTGGCAGAAGGTGGCAAGCAGACTAGCCAACCATTTCTGGAGCTCCACTATTCAGTTTACTCTGCTGGCATTTGTCTGTACCAGCACAGCCACAAGGTAATGGAGCTATTTACTCAAAGCTGGGGATCTGGTGTGTGCCTATGAGAGCATGTCCACACACCAGTGGGCGTGGGTGCAGAACAAGTGGTGGTGGTCAGATTTCCTCAAAGTCTGCCGTAGTTCAGTCTGAAAGGTGCTCAGCTGATGTGTGTCATTAAAAGACGACACTTCAGTGATTCTTAATGGCAGAAAGGCAACGTACTGTCAGGGAGAGACTTACCTACTCACTCCTGCTTTTCACAGAGCTGCAAGCAGCAATGCTAACCGGCACTGTAAGCTAGAGGCAAGTGACTCACATCACGTCAGTTTTATTTGCATAACGCTTATTGCAGTACAACGCAGGAAGTGTTCATGGTCAGCTGATCCAGACCCAAAGAGGAAAGCTTTAAGACTAATCTTAACATTTTTGTCAGAAGAGGGACCTGAAAGTTGAAGGCTCTGCCTCCCATCCTACTTTTTACCACAACTAAAGTGCGACTGGCATCTCAGCGCACGTGCTGGTTTTTCAGCTTCACGCTAAGACCGAATGTTTCTCATTTTAAATTTACTGTCACGGGTCTGTGACTCAGTGTTTTGCGTTTGTTGATTAATTTATATTCTTCGATTATTGTTATTCAGGGTTTTGGATATCTATATTCCTTAAGTTCTTAGTGATCCTAGTGTTTATTTTGGCCTGTGTATAATCTCAGTCTCTGGGTTTTTCTCTCTGCCTGTCTTATGTTTCCTGTTTTATTTTGGGTCGAGTACAATAACCTCAGTTTTATCTGAATTAAGAAGCAGGAAATTAGAGGTCATCCAGGTCTTTGTCTCTTTGGTGTGTGTTATCTGGCCTCATGGAAAGATGAAGCTGGGTATCATCTGAATAGCAGTGAAAATGTCTGCTATGGTTTCTAATAGCAATGGGAACTATTTAGAATTCAACTTAATTTTATTTATGTAGCGCAAACTCAAAACAACAGTTGCATCAGTGCGCTTCATATTGCGAGGTAAAGACCCTACAATAATACAAAGAAAGAGAAAACCCAACAACCCAAACAGTGGGAAGGAAAAACACCAGTTTAACAGGAAGAAACTTCCAGCAGAACCAGGCTCAGGGAGGGGCGTCTATCTGCCACGACTGGTTGGGGTGCGGAGAGGAAGAAGAGATTAATGACAACAAATGACTACATGCAGAGAGGTGTAGAAACACATTGTGGGTGGAAAAGGTGAACGAAAAACAAAACAAAAATTCCACAGAACCCTGTGGAATTTTATAATTCCGGCCTTATTGTGTTATGAAGATTCCCCGATTCCGTGAACCAATTGGAGTCTATTAGATAGTTATGTAATAGACTAGCTACTAACCAAACCACTGCAGAGCCTTAATATGTACAGCACATACTATAATATCTGTAATAAAATATTGTGCTGGGCTCTAGCGCAGAGATGAGTCCCCTGCAGAGATCAGAAGATCATTTGTAACCTTCACTAAAGCTGTTTCTGTGCTGTGAATTTGAAACCTGACTGAAACTCTTCAAATAAACCTGCCTCTGCAGATGATCTGTTAGCTGGTTTACAAATACTCTTTCAAGAATTTACTAGATAAAAGGAAGGTTGGAGA